TAAGTTTGTCATTCCGTTTGTAATTTCTATAATATAATTTTCCGACCCCATAAAGTATATATATTCTGGATCCTTATAGGTAGCGGAGTTGATTAAGCTATGTCCGTCTGTCTGTCTGTCCGTCTGTGTGTTTGTTGAAATCAGTTTTTAGAGGACCCCAGATATCGGCGAGATCCAAATCTTCAATAATTCTGTTAGACATGCTTTCGAGAAGATCGCTATTTAAAATCAGCAAAATCGGTCCATAAATACCGGAGATATGAGCAAAAATCCGAGACAACCTCTGAAAATTTCATAAAAAATACTATTTTTTCATGCTTTGATATAAGCAACAACAACAACACTGCTTATTCATTGAGTATTCGTTTCATATGTTTGGATGGCTGTGTGTTTCATTGCCTTGTGTATATTGTTTTTGTTTCTTGGTGCATTCAGTTTCGTATCTTTGGATGTCTGTTGGTTTCATTGCGTTGAGTATTTTGTTTTTGCTTTTTTATGAGTTTTTCGTTTCGTATGTTTCATTGCCTTGTGTATATTGTTTTTGTTTTTTGGTGTACATATTCAGTTTCGTATGTTTGGATGTCTGTTGGTTTTGTTGCGTTGCGTATTTTGTTTTTTTGTTTATTTCGTTTCGTAGGTTTGGATATCTGTTGGTTTTACTGCCTTGTGTATTTTGTTTTTTTGTGTGTTTATTTTGTTTAGCGTTGTTGTTGTTCGTTTTGCTATTGCCATAATAATGATATAAACGGGAAAATGAAATAAATTAAAATTTTATAGAAGTGATTTTTTTTAAATACACTGTGGTGAAGGGTATATAAGATTCGGCACATCCGAATATAGCACTCTTACTTGTTTTTTCATTTGTCCAGCCACTTTTCCAATTCGCCGATGTGAAGCTGGAGTTCAGAAGCTATTGAAGGGTTATCATGTATGCTTACAAAAGCATTAAATTTGACATCGTATATTTTCTAAACTATTTATCCGATTTTAAATTTTTAGTCCCTTGCTAAAGCCTATGTCTTGTAGTTTGACAATATATTACTTAAAATATTATAGTTTTAATATAAAGATCATGATATCAAAAAACGTCCTTTAGTCAAGGATATATTAAATAAGGTGCCTTACATTTTCTGTATTCCTTTACATAAGATTGCTTATAGTGTACTCAACAATAAACGATTAAAATCGGATAAATAGTTTAGAAAATATAAGATGTCAAATTTAATGCTTGTTGAAAAAAATCTTAAAAAATTTTAACTTTGAACATTAATAAAATCTAAACCGTGAAGAATTTGGTAATTTTGGAGAACTTTAAACTTCGTTCCAAGTTTCATCAAAATCAGAAAGGGTAAGGCGCAAAACCTGTTCGAAAATTTGTCATTAATTTCAAAATTAAAGCTTGTTGAAAAAAATCTTAAAAAAATATGAATTTTAACATCGATAAAATCTAAACCGTAAAGTATGTATTTGAAAATTTTGAAGAACTTTAAATTTCGTATTTATACGAAGAATGATTGTACCGAATTTCACTGAAATCGGAGAGGGTCATGTTGAATATCTCGGTTTTTAGATTTTTTTTTAATTACCCAACAGACAATATAAATTTATTTGTTATAGACAACAGTTTTTCAAAATTTATTTCAAATGGTCTTTAGCGACTGGACCTTTTTACAATCTTTAATTTATGAAGCTTTGCGAAATTTACAAAAAACTTCCTTTCAAATCAGACGATAAATAGTGAATGACTGTTTAAGTCCACTTGCATGCAGAGCATGTAAGTACGTCTGTTAAATTTAAAAATTGTAATGAGTTTCATATTTATTTGATCATACGCAAATGTATTTAAGGCAATTTTGTGGACATTATATGTATAATCCACGATATCTACGTCTGTGGTGCGGATAGAAACCATAATTTCATAAAAATTTTAATTTACTATTTTTTTTATTTAATTTAATATTTTATAAATAAAACAATATACAAATTAATTTTGTAGTATTTTTTACTTGGAACCAAGTAGGAGGATTGCAAAGGAGTAAAATTACCAATTATTACTTTTTGTGAACATTAGGACTAGCAATTAAGTGGTTCCAAAGCACCCAATTGGGTCCAAGTGTACTAATATACACACATTTGAATTACAGAAAAGGACAGTTGAAATGTTTTATTTATTTCGAAACAAAACAGTTTAAAATTAGGACAATTTTAAATGAAAAAGCTGCAAATAATAATGTAATTTCGAATGTAAAACAAAAATTTTGTTAAAAACGGTATCTTCGAATTTTAGTAAGGAAATCTTTTATTTTCTCCAGACAAACAGGACCACTCCAATATACGTAGCGACTACCATAGAGGATTTCGACAATATTCTTTATGAACTTTGAGGATTTTTAATAAAAATACAATACATAAACAATTTATCTAAGTAAAAACTTTTTTAAGGAAATTAAAACTTTTGCAGCAAATTTTCAATAATTGACATTTTTTTTTATTTTATAAAATCTATTGAAACAAACAAAATTATTACTTTTCTTTCTATGGAAAACTCGTTATGGTTTTGTCCTTAATTTCATCGAAAGTTTTCTATTTAGAATTCTACAAAAGTTCAAAATATAATGGCAGATATAAGTCTACAGTTTTGCATATGTTTCCGACAAATTATTAAATCTTGCTGCAGTTTTCAATACTTTTTATTTTCATTTTTCAAAAGTTTACTTTTTTTGAAAAAGTAAACTTTTCAATATTTCCTTTTTCCTATTATCGTTTTTCAATTTCCCTTTTTCTAAAGCTATTGTGATAAAATTCGAGTTGAATATGTTTTGTGTACATATAAATCATTCTACCAAATGTTTTTATGATCGTTTTATTATTGGTAATAACTGCCATATGAGGCCTACTTCCGTAACTGGTCATAGCTCCGGATAGGTCCGTAACTCGTCATAGCTCCCATATATGTGGGTCCACTTCCAAAAAATCACTTAAACGCATATATTTCATTAAATAATAAAGCTATCGGGACAAAGTACGACTTGAATATTTTTTGTTTGCATATAAATCATTCTACCAAATTTTTTCCGGATCGGTCCATATTTGGTAATAGCTCCCATATAAGGTCCACTTCAAAAAATCACTTTAACGCACATATTTCATTATCAAATAAAGCTATATTGATAAAATTCGACACACATATGTTCAGGAGATGGCCGTAATTGGTCATAGCTCCTATATAAAGTCCACTTCCGAAAATCACTTAAACGCAGATATTTCATTAATTAATAAATCTATTGGAGTAAAATTCCACTTGATTTTTTGTTTTTTTTTATATAAATCATTATACGAAATTTTTTCCTGATCGGTCCATTTCCGAAAATTACTTCAATGCACATTGACAATCAAAGTTATAGGGATAAAATTTGACATAAATGTGTTTTTTTATATATAAATCGATATACGGAATTTTACTTATGAAAATCACTTAATACCAATTAATTCATTATTAAATGATTATATCCATATAAAATTCGACGAGTATGTTCTGTGTCACAGCTCCCATTAAATTGTTTTCGAACTGGCCTATTAAACGTTTACGACTGTTTATTATGTGTTGATAACTCAGAACGATCCCAACGCATAAAAGTGGTTACCTTGTAATAGTGTCTAACATAAAATTTTAATAACTGAAAGTGATTTGAATTTAAATAATATTGATCAGTTTAAAAAATGTCATAATTTTCATCACTACAAGGTAAGAATCTCGCAAGTAATTTAAAATATATCAATGGTAACCAAAATTAGATGTAATTTAATTATTTGTAATCATTTATTTTATAAGTCAAAGAGTACTAAATAAATACAAATTAATGATACATGCAAATGTAGATTAATTGGGATTAACTTTGTCAATTATAAGTCAATTTGTATAAAAAATTTTGTTTTTATATTCCCAATATCACAGTGCTGTGAGCAGTGCTGCCACTTTGGTTATTTTTATTTTGCATGTGTAATGTGCATTATTTTTTAGTTTTGGTTATTTTTTGTTAAGCCCCCTTCACACGAGCACACAAGTAATATGATCTGTCAGAATTTTGTGTATAAGATATCGGATGGGATCGTCTAAACGCAATATGTAATGAAACCATCACACATTGAGAGAAAATACGGATGGAAAATTTGACAGTCGTATGGCTCTCTTCATTTTTTGAAATGATTCAAAAAACAAGCAAGTGGCATTAGATATGTAAACACATACAAAAAAGTGAAACAACTGTTTCCATCTTACTTTGTTATTGTTTTATACCAATCGTGTAAACACAAAAAATATTAATCATACGACTTTTTTCTTCTTTTTTGTCATACGGATGGAATTTCATTTTACTTTTTCATTAGACTTGTCGTACGTAAAGTGTGATCGTCTGAAGGGCCCTTTAACAGTTGAACTAAATGCTTTAATCTCTAGTAATAAACCATGTAAATATGTATGTATATATTGTTACGAAATTGAATTTGCATTTAAGCTAAACGGTTTTTAACGGCCAGTTCCCGAAATTTCTTAGCGACTAACATTTGGGTGGCATCACTAAGCGTTGAAGAGGTGTGTGTCTACACTAAACTTTGACTTACATCAGTAGAAGTATCTAGATGATGGAGCCAGAATAAACTGGAAATATAAAGAAGGTGATGCCCATGTATAAATAGCGGTGGCAATCACCAAATGAGTCAGTCTGTAATAAATCGTCATTGAGTAAAGTTAATAAAGTCAAGTGTGCTTTCGTGTGTTAAAGATAAAAAGACAGCCTTACAGTCTACTATATAAGTTGTGTTATAAAAGTATTTGTGTATAAAACTGTGTAAATAAAGAGTTGTTGTAGTTTTTAACAAATTGACGCTTTTATTTGCAATAAGAAGAATCCAGTTTATTTCAAAAGGAAATAAACGGACGTTTTAAAAGGTAAAACGTAACAATTGGTGTCAGAAGCGGAATTGCATAATAAAAAGCAGTCATGAAGTTCGAAGAACTAAAAGTGGAACAACTCAAGAGAGAATTGAGTAAGATGGAGTTACCGACAGCCGGTAATAAGGCAGAATTGCAAAAGAGGCTAATAGATGAATTCAAGCGGCGTGACATTGACATAGGTACATACGAATTCGAGTACAAAGAAGAAACTGAGATATGTACTCGCTCAACAACGAGCAACATGGACTTAAACACAATGTTTGCCGCTATGATGGAGAAATTTGCTGAAGTTCAAGAAACTTCTAAGGCTGACAACGAGAAACTTCTTACTGACAACGAGAAACTTCGAGCTGAGGTTAAAGCTGAAGTAAAGGAAACTTTTAAACACTTAGCTGAAATGGAAGCAAAATTTCAGGAAAGTTCAAGAGCCACAGAAGAAAAAATTCTAGAAGTGTCTGAGGTTATTAATAGCAGAGTAGATGGCATTGACAAAAAGGTGTCAGACTTAAAAACAAAGATGAATAATCTGCAATATCAAGAAGGAGCTGTACGAATCATTCCAGAAACCTCGAGTAGAATAAAAGCCCCTAGTTTTGATGGCACCACACCTTTTAATGTGTTCAAGTTCCAGTTTGAGACAGTTGCCATCAGAAACATGTGGAATAATGAAGAAAAAGCTATAGAATTGATCTTAGCCTTAAAAGGAGGTGCTTCAGTAGTTCTTGAAATACAACAGAAATAATTATGACGACATAATGGAAGCACTACAACGCAAGTACGGTGGAGAACATAAAAAGGAATTATACCGAATGGAATTGCATGGCAGAGTGCAGAAGACTTTGCATTGGAAATCGAGCTATTGATACAGCTTACTTATCCAGGAGAACATCACCCGTTTTTGGATATTTTCAAGATAGAGGCATTTGTAAATGGCATACGTGATCCTGAGATAAAACATGCGGTTTGTGCCACACCAAAGCCATCATTCGCTGAAACTGTCTCATTTGCGCTGGCACAAGAAACGGCTAAAATAATTTCAAAGCCACAAATATTCAAGGTACGAAATGTCGAGGTTGTCGCTGAAAACGAAAGGAATATAGTCACTGAGATAAAAGAGGCAGTTTTAGAGGCTTTAAATGAGAAACAAAATAAAGCCAAAATCAAATGCTATAACTGTGGTAAAACCGGACATATTCAGCGAAACTGCAAAGCACAAAGAAAACGTACCAGATCGGTCTCACCGCCAAGAAACAACCGACAGGTAAATCATCACTCATCACAAGAATCACCTTTAAAACGAGCTAGCACTGAGGGGCAAGAGCTAGCTCCCACATCTGACGGCCCCACAATCTCCATATCAGTAATGCAGCAGAAAAATAGTAATCTAACTGCTGGTGGATACATCAATGGTCGAAAGCACATTTTTACTATAGACACAGGAGCGTCGCAGTCTATTATTAGACCAGATTTAGTTAAGAAAACAATTGAACCACTATGCGGGGTAAGATTACGCACCGCCACTGGAGAGCCTGCCACTGTCTATGGTAAAGTAAATGCGAAAGTAAACATTGCCAACATAAGCGTAGATCATTTATTTATTGTTGCCGATATCGTGGATGAGGTAATCATTGGTGCAGACTTCATGATTATGCATGGCATTAAATTACATTTGGGACCAAATGTTATGATTTGGCGAAATGTTGAAATACCTCTTGATGTCGGATATCAAAGCAAGGCTGAGGTAAAAGAAAGCGTCATCGATGTTCGGCTAACCCATATAGATTCCACTGAAGATTGGTCTGAAGCGCAAAGGGATGACCCCTTACTGGCAAAGATAATATCGGCTAAAGAAGAAGGTAAAAGACCAGCCCGCAATGAAATATCTGCAGAAAGTCCATTAATGAAATCCTATTGGGCTCTATGGAATAGTCTACAAGTGTTAAATGGCTGCCTATACCGAATATGGGAAAGTGCAGACGGAAAAACGGTGACAAATCTAATTGTGGTACCTGCCTCTAAAATAAATGAAGTATTGAAAGAGTTCCATGACGGTCCAAGTGGTGGACATCTTGGTGGAAAAGGTAAAACAACGGTTTTATTGGGTCGGTTGTCAACAATCGGTAGCCGATTGGATTTCAAATTGTCCACAATGCATAGCAGCCAAAGGTCCAGTAAGAAAAAGTCGTGGACGACTTCAGCAGTACAACTCAGGTGCGCCATTTGAGAGGATTGCAATGGATGTAGCAGGCCCTTTCCCTGTTAGTGATGCCGGAAACCGTTATGTTCTAGTGGTTATGGATTATTTCAGCAAATGGCCAGAGGTGTATGCCATTCCCAACCAGGAAGCTAAAACAGTCGTAGGTGTGTTTGTGAACAACTGGATATGTCGTTATGGTGTACCATTGGAGTTACATTCGGACCAGGGCAGAAATTTTGAATACGCTGTGTTCAAAGAAATGTGCGATTTATACGGAATAAGAAAAACAAGAACAACTCCACTGCATCCTCAATCAGATGGCATGGTCGAAAGATTCAATCGCACACTGGAGGAATATTTGAGAAAAGTGGTTAGTGCACATCAGAAGGACTGGGATGAACACATACCAAAATTTCTGCTGGCCTACCGAACAGCCGTTCACGACTCCACCTCTCGAACACCTGCAAAAATTATTTTCGGAACAGAACTCAAGCTGCCTGGTGATTTAGAATTTGGTATAAAGCCGTCATCAAAAAGTAAGGATGATGAAAACTTTTCCCAAGAGCAAGATGACCTTAATGAACTTCATGAATTCGTGCGGAGACGAATAAAAATGACTAGTGATAAAATGAAGGCCAGATACGATCGAGCAGTAAATTCTGAAGGATTTACCGAAGGCCAGCTAGTACTACTGTATAGCCCACAACGTAAAAAAGGTTTATCCCCTAAACTGCAAACTCACTGGGAAGGACCGTATGTGGTGATTAAGAAATTAAACGACGTAGTCTACCGAATACAGAAATATAAGAGCCCGAGAAGCAAAATGAAGGTTGTACACCTAGAACGACTAGCTGCCTATGGGAAAGGTGAATCTGTGCCTATTCGGGACGAACAGGCTTAAGCGGGGGACAGTGTTACGAAATTGAATTTGCATTTAAAATAAACGGTTTTTAACGGCCAGTTCCCGAAATTTCTTAGCGACTAACATTTGGGTGGCATCACTAAGCGTTGAAGAGGTGTGTGTCTCCACTAAACTTTGACTTACATCAGTAGAAGTATCTAGATGATGGAGCCAGAATAAACTGGAAATATAAAGAAGGTGATGCCCATGTATAAATAGCGGTGGCAATCACCAAATGAGTCAGTCTGTAATAAATCGTCATTGAGTAAAGTTAATAAAGTCAAGTGTGCTTTCGTGTGTTAAAGATAAAAAGACAGCCTTACAGTCTACTATATAAGTTGTGTTATAAAAGTATTTGTGTATAAAACTGTGTAAATAAAGAGTTGTTGTAGTTTTTAACAAATTGACGCTTTTATTTGCAATAAGAAGAATCCAGTTTATTTCAAAAGGAAATAAACGAACGTTTTAAAAGGTAAAACGTAACAATATGCATATGTTTTATTATAGCCACCATCAAAAAAGATGGGGATAAATTAATTTTGTCATTCCGGTTGTAAATATTGGTCATAGACCCACAAAAGTAAGACGATCCAACCTTGTCCGTCCGTCTGTCTGTTAAAAGCACGATGGAGTTGAAAGGAAACAAGATAGAAAGCTAAAATATTTTTAGTTGACCTAGTTTGTTTGGTATTGGAAAATGGGAAATATCGGTCAACGATTTCATCTAGCCCCCATATTATGCCCTATTCAGAATATTACTATATTGCTTGTAACTGGCTTAAAAAACATGTATTGCGATGAAATTTGACATAAAGAATTTTAATTGAAGCCGAAATGTTTTTGTGAACTTTTATGAGGATTGGCACATATATAATTGATCCTATCCCTCATATAAAGTCCCTTCAGAAATAGTTCATAATTTGCTACAAAACTCCAATATAGCAACAAAATTCAACATAATCAATGAACTATAACCTCTCCGTCAAATTTTATTATATCCTCAAGGTCCCCTTTGGAAAATCACTTTAACGCTCATAACTGTCTTCATAATACCAGTATGCCGACGAAATTTAACATAAGCAAGTATTAAAAGAACAAAAATCTCAAAAATTATCGGCATATAACTCACCCAACCATCTATGAAAGCTCCATTTCAGAAAATGAATTTATTACTTTAAAGTTCATATCCAAATGTAAACATGAAATAATTAAAAATAATTTTGGTTACTTTTTTCATAATTTAGTTATTTTTTGTTCGAATTTTGGTTAGAAAAAATTTTCGTTGTGGCAACACTGGCGGTGAGCACCCATTCGCAAGCAGTGCTCAGTTTCATCACTACGTTATATAATTATAGCAGCAAGACCCCGTACGTTGTTTGAAGAATAATTAAATTCCACAACTGTACAATCTGACGCAATATTTTAACATATTCAACTACCTGTGGATGATAATTCTAAATTAGGGTGAACCAGCAATAAAGATTTTCAATCAGGACAAGGACAATAGATATTAATAATATTACTACGAATATACCTTTATACTCTATTGACCGTTACACTTCACACACATCATCCCGTGTGACATTGAGCAACAGGTGTATGTATATGTTTCAATTATTCATAAATTAAAGGAAATGGTATAAATCATTAAAAAACTAACATAATTAACATAAAGTTAAATATACATAAATTGATTGATAAAAAAAGAAAAAAAAAAAACATAATCCTTAATATTTATTACATATATTAGATATGTATTCAGTAGTTTTTATACCCAACACCACTTTAGTGGGGAGGGTATATTGGGTTTGTGCTGATGTTTGTAACGCACAATAATATTGGTCCTAATAATAATTTTCTGAGACGATAATTCAATGAAATTTGGCACATGATCATCTTAGGTACCGGAGACGAAACCTATTGAAAACATCAGTCCATTAGTTCACCTAGCCCCCATAAAACTGAACCCGAATAATCGGGCTTTTAAGATGATAATTATGTTTTATTTAATCGTATCTCGACAAAAAGCTGCAAACCCAAGTTCTATACTAGCCTTGATGACTTTCATGAATTTTATAATTATAGGGTCTCATTTCACTATAGCCCCTATACAAAGCCCCCTTCAAAATTTGACTTAAATATCCACAATTTTATTCAACAATAAATGGCTTAAGTATATCTGAGGCAAGGTACAATTCAACTTAAATGCTTTATTATAAAAACTAAATCTCATTTTATTTTTGTAACAGGTGTAGGGTATTATATGGTCGGCCTCGCCCGACAATAATTTCTTACTTGTTTTTGTTATGTTATAATCCACACTAAATTAAGATATTAACAAGTAAGATTGTTATATTCGGCTATGCCGAATCTTATATATCCACCATCAAATCGTATGCCGTAAACGGAATGCTACTCTGTAAGTATCAGGGAGATCAGACTAAGGTACGCGATCTTCGAATTAACAAAATATTAATTTTTAAAAACAAAATATTTTTGACCAATTTTTTAACTATGAATATATGGGAGATTGGTCAATTATGGACTGTTTGTCGTAAAATTTGGTAGAAAGAGTTCGAGTCGTATAACACTTATTTTTTAATTCAGTCATAAGAATAAAAGTAATTATCTGAAGGGGATTTTATATAAGGGTAGGGACAATTATGAATCGATACCCTTAAAATTTAGTACATAGATTTTGTTGTCTATGATCAGGTATAAACCAATTGTCATAAAATTCGGGATGAAGAATTATAATAAAGAACTTTTTATGGCTAGTACAACGATGAAGTACTTTCATGACGGCTTTATATATGAGGGGAAGTTTCAATTGTGGACCGATCCTCATAAAATTTTGTAATGCGATTTTCATTAATACAAAACTTGTTTATGTCGAAATTTATTGTTTTTTAAGCCAGTAATTAGCGCTAAAGTAAATTTCTCAAGGGAACCTTATATGGGGGTAGGATCAATTATGGATCGATCCTTACAAATTTGGTAGATGTATTAGCTTATATATAACATATTTATGTCGAGTTTCATTACTATATTCATATTTTTAAGATAGTAATTAGGGTTTTTTTCTGTAGGGGACCTTATATGAGGGGTAGGGTGAGTAAACGACCCATTCTGCATAAACATACACCCAGAGAAAAAATATGGTTGTGGTAAACATAATCTAAGGGCAACATATTATGGTTATAATTATGGTTAAAGTTAAAACATATTAGGATCATTATAAGTATCAAAAAATATCATATTATGGTCATTATTAATATAATGATTAATATATTTTGATTAAATTAATATATTTTGATTAAATATAGTCCGAATATTACATCATAATTTAGTTTTATTATTCATAATGTGATGTTGTAGCATTATAATAACCATAGCATCAAGTAACCATATTATGGTTTAATATAATCATATAATGGTTTCAAGTGATCATATTATTGTTTGAAAAAACCAAAATCAGTTCCCGGACCCAATCACGATCTAGAGTGTATATCTTATATGTTTTTATTAGCCGTTTTTAATTTTTTTTTTTTTTTTTTTTGAGTGTACACTAACTTTTAAAAATATAAATTAATTTTACAAATTTAAAAATTAAGCAAAATAAGTTATGTTTCAGATTATTTTATTCAAAAATGTGATTTTCCAGTTCCAAATTGTCAACTATATTTAAAAAATATGAGTTCAGAACAGCACTCGTTTCCATTTCTTCGTCTCCGTTCTCCTAATTTTCTTCATTTGTTTGGCCATTTCTATTGAATTTTGATGATATTCTAGTACTTGGATTACTTCTGTTGGAAGCTGCAATTTTTGTTGGTGTTTAATCCGTTTGTTCAATGAGAGGCTGGAAATTAAAGGATCTTAACTGTCCAATGCTCGATTGAAAATGTATGTTAAGTTATTTACTCGACTGCTTTTGCGAGCATGAAACAATCTGTCTGATTTATATATTTTATGGCGCGATTCAGAGGCATCCTCACCAAAGCATCCAACGGGAAGTACAGTAGATTCAATTATTTGACTTTATCAGGACTTTATGAACAGTTGCTGTCATTGGTAACCATGGATATTTCTGCATAAACATTTTGACGGTTTGAAAACAAAATTCTTCAAATTTACATGAATCCAATGGAAGCTGGCATGATAAACATATTCAAATGATCTTTAAATTAAAGATGATTTCTTTATCAATGCCTGTGATTTCTGAAAACTTTAAATGTTGTTGGAAAGCGCGTCGGGCCGTGTTACCGCCATTAGAACTTCCAAAGCCACCAGTCTTAGGCTTATCAACGTGCAATCCAATTTCATCCCAAAATAACTGTTGGATGTCAGCTTTTCTTTTTGCAACTAACAGTTTGTCTTCTTCGTCTCATTTAGAACAAATTCAAAAAAGCGTATCCAGCAGTATCCAGAGGACTAATGCTATACTTCAAATTATCTCTTTTTGGTTTAAATTTTTTGTGTTGGAAATCTTTTATGCTCATAAAATCCTTTGGTGTAGCTCCACATAATGAGCATGTCAGACTAGATTTGGTTTCGGTTAAAATATTGAATGTATAAAATAAATTGAATAAATGTAATAAAATGTACACAAGGAATTTATTTCTTTTTCAATATTTTGTTTCTCTTTTAATATTACTTCTTTAGTCTCCTTTGTGTATTCCAATTTCAATGGACAACAAAATCTGAAATATTTCCGGACTGTTCCATTAAACACAAGGGTATGATTGTTGTAGCCAAAAGAGAGGAGTCACAATTTTGTGACGAGCCCGGCTTTTCACATTGTTGCTTATAGTTTTTGTATCCAGTACTGCTGTCAAAGCCATAGCTGACAATGAGCTCGGCTTGAAAAATGTCCGTTTGTTTCTTTTCCATTAGAGTATTTATAACATCCTCTTGTACTTTTATTATTCTTTCAGTTGTATGGTTTATTTTATTTATTTCAAAATATTTATTACAATCAGAAGCCAAAAAGGCCTAGCGATTGATAGATTAAAAAAAATTTAG